AGATCATACCACCACTATTAGATTATATCATCACCATTAGATTATATCACCACCATTAGATTACATAAACACTGACATAACCATTAGATTACGTCACCACCATTAGATTATATCGACACCATTAGATTATGTCATCACCGTCATAACCTAACTCAAGTCGCCGGGGGTTCTTTGATATAATTATATCAAAGAACCCCCGGCGACTAATAATAATTTTTAAAATTAAATAATTAAAAGGTTAAAATCTTATTTTAATTATGATAATTTCTAATAATTCTATCAATAATTCAAAATTAATTATTTATATTACAAAAAATTATAAAAGAAATTTAATTTTTTCTTTTTAAGATAAATAAATAAATATGTAAAAAGAATTAATCATATAAAATAATATATAAAATTAAAAAAATTAGATAATTTAAATATAACTAATAATATTTCTATAATATATTATTAAAATAATATATTAAAAGAAATTAAAAAAATTCTAAAAATATAATGAAATATATTAAAAATGTAATATAAATAATATAAATATAAAGTTTTCTAAAAATAAACCTTTAATTCATTTACAATACATTTATATTTTTTAAATTTTAGGTTTAATAATACAATAACTACAATAACTTATTTATTATTTAATTATTTAATTTTTTCAAAATAATAAAACTATTAAATAATTTTTAATTTACTTTTATTAATTAATAAACTCAAAATTATATAAACAAATTATAAAAAATGAAAATATTTGATTTAAAAATAAAATAAAATTATATTATAGTATAAGCTAAATTAATTAAAATTTTTTTGTATATTATTTTAAATTTTTAATTATGTATAAAATTAGCTTTTTAACAAAAAATAAATAAAAAAATATTAATGCAAAACTACTTTTTTAATAATAAAAGATATAGATATACAAGATAATTATATATGTTTTTTATAATTAAGAATTTTGAAATCATTATATTAAATTATCATATATTAAATTTTAATATTTATAATAATACTAATATATTATCATTATGCATATTAAAAATAAAACTTAACAAAGCTATAAATTATCTAAATAATTATAATCTATTTGAATATAATTATTTCTTTATTTATAAAGATTTGTAAATAGATTACCTATTTATTTATTATAATTTTCTTCTTTTCTTCTTATTTATTTTATAAAAAATTTTAAAAATTATTATAATAAATAAAAATTGTAATTTAAGATTAAAGAAATTAACTTCAGTTTTATATATAGCAATAGGACCTAATATACTCTTATCTTGATATCAGAACTCACTTTATGGGATGATCATCTAAATTACTACATTTCTGTAAATTGATTAGTTAATTTATTTTGGTTAGGAAACTTCTCTAATTTCTTTGATTATTGCACTGTTGTGAGTAGAGGGAGGTTGATATACAGTGAACCTGCTCCTTATATAAAAGTTATCATCTATCATGCAATCTGAACTTGATTTACTAGAGCAACGAATTAACGAGTTTGAAGCCAAGAATGCAAAGCTATGGAAGAGAATGTCGAACTCAATAACAGAATCGAGGAGCTAGAATTTTAACACTACAGCCGAGAAATGTCTCTGAAGCTAGCATTCGCGATATAAGCGTTCCTGACATGGTCTGGGACGTAGGGACTTAAAGTGGAACAGTTTGGGACATAGTGAGACATAGAAAAGGTTTACCACCAATTATTATGATAGCCGAAATTAGATTTGCAAATTAATTTTTTTTGAAGCAAAAATTTAAAAATTCGGACAAATAATTTCGCGCACATCATTGAATACAGTATATATAGAACTCATTCTTTTACTTAAGCAAATCTCAAAAATCTCATAAAATAAAAAAATACTAAACCATGAAACCAACATTAGTTCTCGTAATCTTTTTGGCACTTATTGTTATTGCTCAATAGCTTTAATAAAAGACAGGAATCCGCTTCTGTAAAGGTTTCACAAATATCAACAACAATCGATGTACTTCTGGAAAATTTATATTCTTTCACTATTTTTTTCTTTCTTTACTGATAATGCCTGAAGGTTAACTTACGATAATAGATTGTATAACTTATTCATTATCCTAATACAATAATTAACTCTTTTTTATCATATTTGAAAAAAAAATTGTGGCATTCTGGGCAATAAACAATTCATGAATTACATACAATGCCAGGTAAATTTTTTTTTTTATATATATAACTATAGACTTAAATATATTTTTATTCATTTGTAAAACTTATTACATTTAATAATAAATTCTGAAATTAATTAAAAAAAATTAATGATATAATAATAGAAATAAATATTTTTCCACAGCGTGGTAAAATAGGTTTATTACTAACCGAATGAGCCGCAAGATTAGTGAAGATGGAAATGAATAAAAAAAATAAAACTAACCTTAACGTTGCCAAAATATCTCCCGAACCTAAAGAAACTGAAAAGAAAGTGTTAACAAATAGACAAAAAATAACAAATATAAAAAAACTTTGCCTAAATGCTGTGTCCGAAACCTAGAGAAATTTCAGATAATTTTTAATTATGTCCAAAGAATTGAAAATGACCAAAATGTTTTAAAACGGAAATTTTGAGGAATTGATGGCAACAAAAGCTAACGAAATCTAATTTATTCATTCAAGGGCACTCTTAAAAAAAGGTAAAAATATTTCATTTTGCATAAAATTAAAACTATTACAACATATATTTTAAATAATTGCCTAATTAAATATGGTTCAACATTTCGTAATGATAAGGCGTTAACAAATAAGGACATAATGCTTTTTTTTTAGAAATTTTCTCCTGCAGATCCAGTTAGCTTTCCCTATAATTTAATAGATCAATAACGCCATTCAAAAATATAACGTCATTCATTATCTATTAATCACATCACGTAATTTTTGTTTGGTGATGTTGATGATATTTTTAAGTGTCAAATGCAATTTGAAATCTAATATAAATAGGCTCACAATTTGCGCATCAGATTCCTCATCATCCTAACGATCAATTACTTTCTCAAACATAATGAAATACTTGTGAACGTATATTAAAAATTTCATGATGACGTTAAAAAATTCCAATCGTCCGAGATCTTTGACGATTTTTCCAAAAAGGATGATCATGATTTTTATTAATGTTTATGTGCCTATTAATAAAAATTTTTTAATGAATATCATTGCAACCGCAAAACAAAAAACCCGATAATGCATTAATGAAACTCACAAACCAATACCAACTTGGTTTTAATTCCCTCTTTTATGGTCTTTTAAATTAAATCTACATTTCGTCATTTAAAATATTTCATTTATTTTATTATCTTATTTCTTTATTATTATTATTTTTTTTATTCCGACGTCGAATCATAATTTTTTCGTTTAAATTTTAATTCGATAACATTTTCTCTCTCATATCGTGTTCGTACTATATTCATTTTTACGTGATTTCTTTCCTTTCCCTTTTGTATTTCCCTTTAATTATTTATAATTGTTTTCTAATTTAGCAACTAATTAGGTTAATTAAATATAGATTATAATATCGCTCTTTGTAGTATGTTTAATCTTTAATATATAATAAATTCGAGCTTACTTATGAAGTTTAAATAAATACAAAAATAATAAAAATTGAACATGTTCATAAATTTATTTCATTATAGGACTATTATTTCATAAAGTAGAAAAAATTTAAATATTATTGGATATCAAGTTTTTTTATTATATTGAATCATTTTTTTTACATAAAGATTCAACTTAAGAATATTTTATTTTAAACTACTACTTTACACACGACAAATTTAACCGATCACTTTGATCACCACCAGAAAGTTGAGTACTTCCGAATGTAAATAAAGTCCTATAACAATAATACAAAACAATTTTAATATTATTACTAAGTAAAGAGAACGAATTCAAAATTACATACGACCACAGTTTGAATATTGCGGTGCTCCTCCTTGGAACAATATATATGGCAAGGAGATACATCAGATTTCGAATTTTTTTGTTTTCATTTAAAGGAGCTTACTTACCTCCGCTCCAAGAATTACAGCCTTTGAAGGCTTGCAAGAAGATAATATTAAATAATAATAATAATAATAAACTAACGCTCCGATCTAATTTTTTAATTAATGTAAAATTGCTACCTCCGGGAATATTCTGACGACTTTGGCATAGTTATATTACAAAACTGATTATTTGTAAATTTCAAGAGATCAAATGCAAAAATGTAGACGACTTTAGCAGCCAATCCACGATTATGTAATTTGTAATGGTATCAGCTGGGTATTTGATAATTAAAACTAGGAAACGGATACCGTTAAAGAAGTTTAGATTGGCAATGCATAGGACGGTTATTATATTATCATATGTACCATGCGAATCATTTTATGAGATGGACAGGATGGACTAATGTCTAATTTAGAATGCCAATCGGTATTGACTTCTATTTTAACTTAATCGATCAAGGTTAAACTTAATTGGTGATTCATAAAATTTCTTTAAAATTCGTTTGGTTGCGACACAATGCTCGGATTCTAAATTTTCCTTTATAAAGAACGAAAATTTTCATTTCGCAATATAGGTTATCTTTGGGAATATAAAATAAAGTCGAATTCTGTTAATTTTATTTATTTTCATTCACTTATCCATCAAACCAATTTCCATAAGATTTTGATTTTAAATATGGTCCGTCTTTTAAACAATTTCACTCGCTTATGTAAAACAACAGAAACAGGAAAAGAAATTTGTTCATGTGATTATCGTACAAACATATATGATTGTCCACATAGTGAATTTTATGTTATAGGGGGGAAGATACTGATACCAATATGTATTTTGGCAACAATAATGTCTGGAGGATTTTTATATTATCTTATTAAAGTTAAGAAGCAACCGATCTTCTTGAATGCCACCAAAGAAAGAGGATGGTTGAGGCCTAAACCCTTGCATTCTTATCACTTGATAGTGTTTGCTTATATGTTTTGTAAGTATACATTTATGACAAAAAAAAGCTCGAGTTCTTTAAACATAAATCTAATATGCAAATAAATTGTAATTTTAGTCCAAGGACTTCATTTGATATTTTTGGTAAATGAATTATATCCTAATATGATAGCAGCCGAACGTGAGCAAATATATATATATATTTTTTTGTTGAAGTTCGTGTACATGTGATAATAAATAATTTAAACCTTTACCATAGTCGGCAATGTTATGGCAGATGCCTGTTCGGCAGCCGCTGCCACATTATATCCCGTTAGTATAGGTAAATATATTTGTTTTGTTACGAATTAATTTTCATTATTTCATTAATTTAATAATCATAAATTGTTTCGCAGTTTATTCCACACCAAATATAAATCTCGAAAAGAAACAGAACTTCAAAAATTTTAATTATGTTGGACCAAACGCACGTTTAGTTGACATTGTTGGAATTATATTATTTTTTGAACCATTAATCACATTATTTCCTTTAGCCTCACTTGCGGGACATTACGCTGAAATGAATGACATTAAAATGACAAATATTTTATATAATACACATTACATTGCTTGGGCAGTTTGGGAAATTACATATATTACAGTATTATTATATTACTGGTACAGGTTAACATCTATAATCAAAGATCATCTTAAAGTATTAGAAGAAAATGATTCTAATAGAAATCAGATCAAAATTATCAAACGAGGCACCAGAAAAGTAAGTTTTACATAAATGATTTCATTAAAATAATTTCTTTTTAAAAAATTAAATGAATAAATGATTCTTCTTATTTAGTTAACTATACCGGTTATGGCGATAGCTTTTGGGTTATTGTCACAAGCGATTATTTATGTCATTATGTGTATAACGCATCGTAGCGGTACAATTTATTATTTCGGTTGGAATTTATTTTATTATTGGATCGGATATGTTACTTTCCCATTACTGGGGTTCACCATTGAATGTTTCTTGATTTACTAGTAGGTATTCATATAAAAATAGTTACCCTATTTTTGTTTCATTAACTAAATTTTTTGATTTTCTTTCCTTTTTTTTAAAAAAAAAAAAATCAATAGTACAATAAAGAACTTAAAAAAACCACCAACTACAAGTTCTATTATGCTTTCGCCAACAAATTCCTCACAAACTCAATTAGACTCGAAAACAACCGACAATGACAATATGTCAAATCAAAAAGATAGTAAAACTTTATGTTGTATACCAATTAAGAAATTTGGTATTACAATAAATAAACCTAACATAATTATTCAATGCAGTTCTGAAACTGTTAAGACCGTTACTTTCGAAAGTAATAATGAACAAGAAATACCTTAAATTAAAAAAATTTTTTTTTTTTGTTTGATAAAATTTCAACATTATCGAATTTATTGTAGTATTAATTCTTTTTTTTACATCTTGAAAATTTAGGCCAATATAATTAAAGGTTGAAACAAGATTTAAACTGGGATTGATTATATTTGATTGCAAGAATGAATTTATTGATTTTTCTTTCATGCAGACATCAAAAAAAATAAAAGATTGTAAAATTTAAATACTCTTAAAAAAGTATATATTGATTGATTTCTTTCCCAAATTTTATAATTATTTATTTCCTTTATATCAGTTGTCAGAGCAAGTCTATTATCGATTGGGATTTAATTTTTTGAAATGAGAGAGGAATTAAATTGATTCATTACGTAATACAAAAAATTTGATATTGATGAATTTTTTTGTCACCTTAATTACCTTTATTCGAGCACGATATTATAGATATTATCACATTAAACTGTTTAGTTGAATGATACGACCCAGATGAGAATTGTTTTGAGGATAAGATCAATAAGACGGGAATCTGTTAAAGTACTTAAGAAATTTATAAAGAAAGAAAACTTACGTCTCTGTTGATTCTGTTCCAAAATTCGCGCGTGATTTTATCGCAAAAATCGCGATTATAATTCCGGCTGAAATTAACATCATTTCACCTAGAGTATGAAAATTTTGATTAAATTTGAATGTCGTCCAAAATCGTGCTGATCCTCCCGATCCAATTTAAAAGTTAATTGTTCTTATCAACAGGGAACGTGCCGTTTTTGAACATATTTTGGAGAGTATTAATCTATTATCATCAAAATATGTTCAATATATTATTTTGAACAACCTCATAAAGACCGTATACATATTATTGTTGAGTTTTCACGTAAGTGCTGAGCATTTATTTTTTTGTACTTTCATATCTAATACACGCGCCTTTATATTAATAGCATGTATTAACCCAACTCTTGATATTTTTTACTTCTATTATACAGAGCCTACGAATGCATTATTCAAGGATTGAGAGAAAAGTTAGCAACACTACAGACTAAAGGTAGGTACCACGGAAAAATCTTAAAACCTTTACTATTTTCAATTCATCGAGAAGTTTAGTATATTGCTTGAATTGACTAATGGTCTGCTTTTATTTTTAGTTACCATGTACTTCCAATACCTTGATTCAAAAGTCATAAATATTGCTTCAGATAGTTGGGATGATTCGTATGAATTATATACCCGTTTGGATAAGCTTCTTGGTCTTAAGGGCTCAATGATAGATCATAAGTTTACTATTAAAATAAAGAAATAGATATTGGTTGGTCAAAAAGGAATTTATCAATTTCATTGAATTAAACAGATGTTCGATTAATAATCCAGTCAGAATATCTGACGATAAGAAAGGTACAATATTTTAATTATCAGTCAATTGCAAATAATCTGAATTAACACCATCTTGCTCTGCAGGACTAAAAGAAATGCTGGCTGATTTATCGGCACCATCAAAACTTGGAAAACCTAATGAATGGTACAAGCATTAAAAAAATGATCCCATTTGTCTTAATCATCGTCCATCAACAGCCTCTAGCAAAATACCTGTTGCTATTTTCGGGATTTCTGTCTTGCGAGTAATTTTATTACATTTTAGACCCTCAACTTTAAATTATCTTACCAAAAAAAACCACAGTAATGTTACTACATCATTTCCAAAAAGTATTCTATTACACAAGGTCAAAGCCATATTGTTGAAAAAGGCGCTACCTTCTTTGCACACTAGTTGCTCTTGATGCAATTGTTGATGTTAAATGCTTACCAACTGGATTTAATACAACACATTCTCCTTCATCCTTCACAAAATAACTGAGACTTTTACAATAAACCCTTTCTTTAATTATTTGGCGTCGTACTTCCAGATAAAGCTATAGTCGATTCGCTTACCCCCTTATTTGGCAAAAGGATAATTGAAAAAATGATGTAGGCACTTTCCAGAACCTTTTCGTTCTTTGAAGGAGTCACTCCAACTTCTCGATCAATATTATAATCAAGTTGATAAATTAGCCCTCCAACTATTTACCCTTCGCATCCTTAATTCCAGAACTGATTGTAAACGATACATCTTATAGCATACAGATTAATTTCAAATTGATGGTTATCTCCTTGGGGAAGTTATACTCTTAGACGAACATGGTACACATTTAAAAGCTTACGTGAAAGCAGTTCGAAAACATCAATATTCACTTAATTCTTAGCGAAAGATGGATATGCTCAAAAAGTAATTGCTACTTTACTTATTCCTGGAAATTGGTATAGAAATCCTTGACGATCATTCAATATTAAAGCACATTATCTCTAACCTTAATAATCAAGATCGAAGTACTTTAAGAGAGAAAATCAAAGTAGTCGTCAAGCATTTGCAGATGGGAAAATTATTACAAAAAAAACCATGATCTTCCCATGTTGAATCAGCAAAGAAATTCGTTATAAGATTGAATGTAAGTTTCGGTAAAAAAAAAAAAAAAAAAATAGTGGGCCCATTTATTACATTTATATAGTTTCAAACAAAACTTGCATTATTATTTCACAGACATTACGGACCAAGATCGGAAAGTAAAAATTATATTTTATTTCATTCATGATTTAGTTCTGATACCATGCAATAGACATGTTAATTAATATTATTTTTATTACGACAAAATTTTTGTTGCTTTATTTACGCATTTTAAATGAATATGCAATCTGAGATATACTCATTGAGACAACGCATTTCGTAGCTTGAAATCCAAAAATCAAAGCTTGAACCAAGAACGCAGAGCTTTTAAAATAGATTATGGAAGAAAATACCAAAAGCGAGTTTGAGAATGTTGAACTCAAGGGCAGAATTGCGAAATTGGAACAGTTACCAAATAATATTACACACGGATAAGATCAGGTGAATGTACTCTTCACGAAGCATCATCTACCGGCTGTTTACCCTAAAAGCTGCACTGCTTCAGCGGCCCTGTTATTATCATTTCAACGCTTCATTTTTTGAAATCTGCTTATTTTGGTTATTAAGTTTTTAGTTTTTTATTATAAACAAAAACAATTAATTCCATTAAAATATATCATGTTTAGTCTTTTAGAGAATCTTCTGGAATAAATATTGAAAAGCTTCTTTTAACTTTACAAATAGATACAAGTAATCAAATGTAATCAAGTGCAATTTTTGAAAGAATTGGTAATTGATCACTAAGGTTCATCCAACGTTTTTCTAATCCAATATTTCTAACTAAGCTTTCCAATTGCATTTTACAATAAATTGTTAATAGAATTATATTAACATAAATTTTTTCTTTTTAAAGAATCAAATAAAATATATTTAAGATTGAAAATTTGAGTAGCTTATAAAAAAAAAAATAGGATAAAGGTTTATAAATTAAAATTATAAGTAATAATAATATTATCAAGATTTAAACCAAAATCTTAAGTATTACAATTATTTTCTAAAATGCAATAAGTTAATAAAAACATTCCTTTATAAAAGAAAATAATGGTTTATTTTACTAAAATTTGTTTTTTAAAGAAATTACTATTTCTATTTTCTGGGTTTATTTTTTCAGTAATTTTTCTTTTAACTTTCTTAAGAATTTTATTAGTGCATATGTATAAATCCAATTTGAGATAACAGATAACTTCTTGATTCCTAATGCTAAAAAATTAATATTTTGTATAAATTATATATATATATAAAAATAAAATAAATAATAATTAAATTTATATTAAATTTATATATATAATATTTATATATTTTTCAAGTAAGTAGCTTATAGCTCCTTTTTTATTATTATTAATATTCAGTATAAATAATAGATTTGCAGATATTATTTTTTAGTGATCTACATTTATTAACTTATAGAGTATCTTAGGTATACTATACATTTATTAAACAACTTTCATATATAGACTGACTCTGATTTTATTATAATACTTAAAATGGAATCCTTAGAAAAAATTAATATCTTCTGTCAGTTAATAATAATTTATAATTATATATCATTATAAAATTAAAAGATCTATTACATTATAATTCTAGCTATCAAAATTATTTTTACCTAACTAATATCGCAGAATTTATAAAATATATCATAAAATTTGTTTAAATAATAAATTAATGAGATAATAATCTGATTATATTAACAAATATATTAGAAATATCAGATATAATAATATGTCTTATTAAATAATATTATGATATGCAATACATACTATTATTACTGTTGATTTAATTTATTAAATTTCTGATTAATTACTTTTTTACTTATGTAAAAACTTTTATAGGATGTGACTGAATAATATTTATTACAAACTTATTAATGGAGACTAAATTGCTATTAATTTTAAGATTCATTTACATTCATATGTTCTATATCATATAGTTTTTAGACATAATTAACATTAATTAACAGACTAATCAATCAGATTTATACGTTAATTAATATATATACCCATTAGTTTAGTCACAATAAATTTTTATAAAAATTATATAATATTATATATCAGCTTATATCTATAACATACATATTAAACCTTTATATTATAAGAAATTTACAGATAATTACTGAGTTAGATCTTGTTATAATTTTTACTTTTTAAATTTATAGTTCATTTCATTTGATTTGATTGATTAATTTGAATTTTATTAAATCAGATTCCAAGTTTGACTCTGATGTTAATCTAAAATTTATAAACTTATAATAATTAAATATAAAATAACAATCAATTTAAGAATCTTCATAAAAATTGAATTAACTAAGCATAATTCAGACCATTATTTATTAAGTAAATATCTAAGATTGCAACTAAGATTATTATTCTAAAACAAATTTAACTTGATAATTTTTTTTTGAATTGATTAATATTTAGTTCAATTTGAATTGAATTGAATATCCAAATAAAGTATTTTATTTAATATTATATTTTATATTATGCTATTTAAATAGTTTTCTCAAGTTTTAACTTAAAAAAAAAAAAGGCTATAAATACATATAACAGATTAATTGCTTATCATTTTAACTTTAATTATTATTTTAATCCATTAGGATTTTTTTTAGTAATAATAATTATTTGTAAATAAAAATAATTTCAAATTTGTTATGCTGAGTATGTTTATAAAATTCAACTAACAATTTTGAGCTGGAAAACGGTCACAACGTATAGATTGCTTTACAAGTAGTATGAGCGAAATGTCCAAAGAATATATTTGTGGAAATTAATTTCCCACAAGTTATTAAAACCGGTAGTGTAAATTCATCATACTATGAATGACTTAATACATTGTAATACCATAATCATAATAAACCCATATTTTCGCGGTTAATCTTAATACCGGTGAACTACCCATAAATTTCTTATACACACTATTTGATTTTTTATATCAAACAAAAAAAAAAATAATAATTTGAATTCAAGGTATTTCTTCTTTATTATTATCTTCAACTAAAGTAATTGTTTCAGTAATTTCGGAAGTGCAATGAATAACTGTCATAGTAGGTTTGTTGATGGAAATACTAAATTTCTTATTGGGTATGCAACTTAAATTTGTATTATTAGTAGTAATTTGATTTTCCGCATTTACGAGTTTGTTCGAGTTTAATTGAGATTGCGATGAAGAAGATGTTGTTGATTTATTATTAGAAGAGCCTGGTGGTGACTTCCTTAAATTCTTTATAATACTATTAAATGATTATTTTTTTAAAAAAAATTAAAATTTATGATAAATGATCAAACTAAATTATCTTTTTTTTTTTTGTGTTTTAACATGAATACTTACAAGTAAATCAAAGTACTTTCAACGCTGAATCCCAATAAAGGGAAAGCAACATATCCGATCCAATAATAAAATGTACTCCATCCAAAATTATAAATTGTACTGCTTCGATGCGTTAAACACATAACGACATATATAATCGCCTGAAATAATAATCCAAAAACCATCGCCATAACCGGTATAGTTAACTAAATTAATTAATTAAAAAAAAATTAATTTATCAATCAATTTAAAGGTAGTTATTTTATTTGATACTTACATTTCTGGTACCTCGTTTGATAGATTGGATATGATTGTTACTAACAACCCCGGTAGATTCACGTTCCTCTAATACTTTAATATGTTTTTTAATTATAGATGTTAATCTGTACCAATAATATGCTAAGACTGTAAGGTACGTAATTTCCCAGGCTACCCAAGCAAAGTAATGCGCAGAATAGAAAGCATTTGCCATTTTCAAATCATCAATTTCAGCGTAATGTCCCGCTAAATAGGCCAAAGGAAACAACGTAACTAAAGGTTCAAAAAATAATATAATCCCAACAATGTCAACTAAACGTGCGCTTGGTCCAACATAATTAAAATTTTTGAAGTTCGAATTTTCATTCTTAAGTTGTACGTTTGGTGTGGAATAAACTGTGAAAACAATTTATGATTATGAAATTAATGAAATAATGAAAATTAATTCGTAACAAAACAAAATATATTTACCTATACTAACGGGATATAATGTTGCAGCGGCTGCCGAAAAGGCATCTGCCATAACGTTGCCAACTATGGTAAAGGATTAATAAATTTCTTTAATTGCATGTTACACGAATTCGTCAAATAAAGAAAAAATGAAAATGAATTTTTGCTCACGTTCAGCTGCTATCATATTAGGATATAATTCATTTACCAAAAATATCATATGAAGTCCTTCGACTAAAATTACAATTTATTTGCATATTAGATTTATGTATAAAGAACTGGTGCTTTTTTTGTCATCAATGTATACTTACACAACATATAAGCAAACACTATCAAGTGATAAGAATGCAAAGGTCTAGGTCTCAACCATCCTCTTTCTTGTGAGGCATTCAAGAAGAACGGTTGCTTCTTAACTTTAATAAGATAATATAAAAATCCTCCAGACATTATTGTTACCAAAATACATATTAGTATCAGTATCTTTCCACACAAAACATAAAATTCACTATGTGGACAATCGTATAGATTTATACGATAATCACATGAACAAATTTCTTTTCCTGTTTCTGTTGTTTTGCATAAGCGAGTGTAAGTGTTTAAAAGGCGGACCATATTGAAAAATGAGAGATGGTATTTAGAGAAATGAAAAGGGATGTTATTTATAACGGATTTAAAACAAAGTGAACAGAGAAATATCTGAATAATTTTTTTATATTATATACCGAAAGAAACTTGTCGGGATTTATGACCATTTTAGCTAAATCTAAAAATAATTCACACTTTTACATAATCTTATAAATTAAATTGCATACTTGCAAACTCCAATCAAAAAACAAAAATCCATATTTTTTTAAAGTTTGTCTTACTATCTAGATTTGAACTTTTCTATTGATGATCTTAAATGTTTGGATGAACCTATAACATACAGTATTTAAAGTACTTACTCTTTTTGAAATATAAAATATTAATATTCATAATAATAATAATAAAATAATTTTTGGATATTGACTTTTTTTTCGGAAATGACCGAATTTTCCTCATCCAATAAAATAATAAACAAAATGCCAAAAACACTTTTATTTTATTTTCTTGTAAAATTACCGATCAGTTTCAAAACCGATTTATAATCAATGAATTTTTTTTCCATAATTATGGAACTGCATAATAACAAATGTTGGCACTGGGGAGGTGGTATTCGCGTGACTTGCACTAAATATATTTGAAATACTAAAAATAATTGAATCTTTTATTTTAATGATTTGAAGCAGGATTAAAAGTTAAACGGTTTGCAACTTTTATGACTCAGTTCACTCAGTCCGTAAAGAATTCAACAACAAAAAAAAAAAATTAATAAATCGTTGTACACACTTTGGAATGATACAAGATATAAACACAGAAAGTTCGAATGCATCAAGGTATATTTAATAAATTTCTTTGAAAAAGAACTTCCGAGATTTTGTGTTCAAGCCCAAATAGAAACCATTAAATTTATGATGTTTATTTATATTTATGGAATAAATATTTAATATACGTGGGAAACCGTCCGTGTGTAAGTAAACATTAATTATATTTTTATAGTTGGTTATTTATTAATTAATTTTTTCCCCGTTCTAGAAGTTGAGCTTTGACCTACCCGAATTATAAATATATTAAACTTTAAAGCGTAATATCTCCGAAAAAAAGAAAAAAATAAATCAAAGCGCCGTGTAACATATAAGCAAACGGTTGAACTTGATTTCTGCCATGTTTACGGCGACTTTTTTGTTTTTGTTACATTAATGATAGTCATTCTAATATGGTAATAATTGGTTCTTGCGGAATTTTGCAAATCTTTTTTAATTAATTGAAAAAAAGTTCGATCGGCAATTTCGATCAAATACATTTTTTTTTATTGATTGTTTATTCATAAAAAAAGTCATAAAACAAATGTACGTTTTTTTATTATTATTAAAAATCATCTATCAAAGTTATCTAATTTATTTTTTCTAATATTTACTTCGAAATTTGAATTTCAATTGTTTCAGAACAATGAATTACTGTTGGAGAAGCTATAACACTAAATTTACTTGCTGTATGATCATCCATAACGTTACTATTCAAACTATTTACAATATTAGATTTCGAGTGTGTTGATGATGATGAAAATAAACCAGTAGAATGTGTTGGCTTTCGTAAATTCATGAATGTGCTATTTTATTGAAAAATAATCATTAATAGATACATTAAAATATGCATATATATATAATTACGATAATTTTTATAACATGAATACTTACTTGTAAATTAAAGCACTTTCAATACCTATTCCCAATAATGGGAAAGATACAAATTCCATCCAATAATAAGATACATTGTAGACAAAATAATAAATTGATTTATTTCGATATGTAAAACTCATAATGACATATATAATCGACTGTAATAATAATCCAAAAAATATCGCCATAACTGGTATGGTCAACTAAATAAAATCAAAAAAAAAATTTTAATTCATACTATTTATATAAAAAAAGCAATTTTTTTTTTAATTACTTACATTTTTGGTGCCTCGTTTGATACCTCTGACCTGTTTTTTATTCGAATCATGTTGTTCTAATACCATAAGATGATTTTTGATTACAGACATTAGCCTGAACCAAAAATATGCTAATACCATAATATACATAATTTCCCAAAATACATAAGCAAGATAATGAGCCATAAATAAAGTATTTGCCATCTCTATATCATTTAATTCGGCGTAATGTCCCGTTAATGATGCTAAAGGTAACCACGAGATTATCGGCTGCAAAAATAATATGATTCCAATGGCGTCAACCATACGTGGATTTAGTTCGTTACTGAAGTTTCTGATATTCGACTGTTCATAGTCGTTTCGTATGTTTGGTGTGGAATATACTGAAAGTGAAAATTTGTAAAGCAAGTTAGAAAGCGAAAGAAAAATCACTAGAACCGGTTTAAAATGATAAAGCTTTGAATAATTACCTATACTAATGGGATACAATATAGAAATAGCTCCAGTACATACATTTATCATAACATTACCAACTATGACAAAAAGTTTTTAGTTATTTAATTGAACAAATTGACAAAACTTTACCCCAAAAAATAAATTAATGAAACTTACTTTCGGCTGCTATGATGTTTGGATATGATTCATTTATCAACAATATCAAATGAAGTCCTTCAACTGAAATTAGATTTATTATATATTAGACATTTTATGTTATCTTCCTATTTTTGTCACCAAAAAAAATGTATCTACTTACAAAACATATAAGTAAACACTATCAAGTGATAAGAATGCAAAGGTCTAGGCCTCAGCCATCCTCTTCCCCTGGAGTTATTCAAGAAGAAAGGTTGCTTCTTAATTTTGATAAGATAAAATAAAAATGCTCCAGACATAATTGTTGCTAATGTACATAATGCTATCAATATCTTTCCCATTAATACATAAAATTCACTATGTGGACAATCGTATAGGTTTACACGATAATCACATGAACAAATTTCTTCTCCTTCTTCTGTTGTTTTACACACTCGAGTGAAATTATTTAAAAGACGGACCATATTTGAAAGTGAAATCTTAAGGAAATTTTATTTGGGATAAATTGAAAATAGATAGCCATGTTGAAATTTTTTTTATATTTATATACTGAAGAAACTTATCGGATTTGAAAATTTTTAGCTAATCCTAATTACGAAAAAAAAATTAAAGTTTTACATAATATTATAAATTAAACTGCATATTTCTAGTCTCCAATAAAAAATATAATTTTTTTTTTGGAAGGAATATTTAAAGTTTGTCTTACTACCTAGATTTGAACTTTTTGTGTATGATGAGAATTGGCCAATTTGATGAAGTACAATGAAATTCTGAAAATCCTTTGGATATTCATATTTTAAGCCCATGAACTTTTTGATCATGTTGTGTAAGACGAGGATCAATATAAAAAAAAATTTGATTTTAATTAAAAGCAAAGAACCATATTTTTCATACCCAATAAGATATCAACAATTTTTTGGCGCAACTTGAGTACTTGTTTTAAAACGAATTACCAATTAGGTCGGTTAATTGTTAAAATGGAAAGGTCTATTTGTGGACGATTGGCCATCTAAAAAGAAACTTGGAAATTTGGCTTTTAATCTTACAATATATAATCCACAGATTGTAAATGTCATGTTAGAAAATGTTAGGATTGGTTTTAAAGTTTACTAATTATTTGACTAAACATTTCAAATATTTACGTTGGATCTCACAAAAAAAAAGAGAATTCATGTGAATATTCAACACCTATAGTAATAAACTCTCGAGTAAATATTTAAAATTTCCTAATCAATGTAATCAATGGAAATTAAAAAATAGCAGTTTTTAGATCACCAATGAATATTATCACGTGATTGTATTACGTGTTTTCGATCGGGTTGCGATTTCGATTTAGAAACGAACCCAATTATCATATATAAAAAGCGTAATATCTCCGAAAGCTCATATCCGATTTTCACAGGCATCTAAAATAATACTAGTTGTATATGTCGTCTTGTACGCACAATTTCTTTTTTCATGTAGTATATTGATCACTTTGATACACAGTTTTGTTTACAAAGTAAGCAAAATTTTATGCATAATGTAATCAAAAGTAATCAAAATATATGAAAAAGGGGTGATGCTTACGTGAGAGATAGTTATAGACTCTTATTAACGTACAGATGATGGCAACAAAGATCACGGCCTCCGTGTGTAATCAGATCGTCCACACCTTTATTATATTATAACCTGATTTAGTAACCTTGATTGATTGGTTATATGGTGTTGAATCGTTATTAATTAAATAATTTTGATAAATTATTTTATATTAATATTAGAAAACTCTAATAATTAATAAATTTCTATTATATTAATTCAATTAGGGGCTAGTACTAGTACAAAATCCATCCCGAAAATCAAATCCTGAAGGAGTCAAAAATCCCCAAGCCGAAGCCGAATAATATTATCGCTGCGCCCCTTCGAATGTGCAGATCATTTAAGAGTTTTATCATGGTATCTTAAAAATTAGTTTATAATAATATTTTAAAAAATTTATTAAATTATTAATTAAATCAATGATTTCAATCATTTATGCAAATTTTTTTTATTTTAAATAAAATTTCATTTTTATATTTAAATATATACAAAATTTTAAATGATTTTTTATCCCTTAAATCGTAGGGATTTGCAGGCTCATTTACTTTATAAATTCTCTTCTGATTTATTTATATAAATAATTAAATTTTTAATATATTATATAGCAAGTTTTATCTTTTAATTATATAATAAAAAATTTACAGTTACTTAAAAGCTAAAATTTGTAATTTTTAAAAAAAAATTATATTAAAAAATTTAATGATTAATCTATGATAAACCTTTTAGAATTTACTTTTAACTATATTAATAATAATAGAATATTATAAAAATATAAAAAAAAACTTTTATTATTATAATTTTATAATTTATTAAAACTTTATGACTTTAATTAATGATAAAGTAATTTAATTAGTAGAACTTTTAAAACATTTTTATAATAATATAAATTAAATTATTTTAAAAAGCTTTTAAAAACTTAAAATCTTTGTTAATAAAATTAATAAAAAATATATTAAACTATAATTTTTTATATAATAATCATATTAATAAAATTAATATTTAAAATTTTTAATTTTATAAGAAATTTGCTAAATAGCTTCAAAAATAAATAAATAATATTTAAATATATAAATAAATTTTTTAAATATAAACTTTTATATTTTATAAATTTTTTTTTTAATAATATAAAAAAAAATAAAAATTATAAATTTTAGCTTTTATAAAGAAAATACTTTATTATAATTTAATCTTAAATTAATAATTGGATTACAATATATATATATCATAATCCAGTTGTATTAAATTGTTACCTAATTACCACTTTATAATTTTATTTTATAAAGTAATAATTTCTGCTACTTCATAATTTTACTTTATGAAATAATGGAGTTTGTTTCCTATTTTACTATGAGTTTTTATTATTAAAAACTATCTATATACTTATATTACTTAGTATTTTTTTTGCTTTCAAAGAGTTATCCATTTATTTACCTACTTTTGGACCTGTTTAGTAGCCTGTTAAGATGTTAAGAATACTTTTTTTTTACGTCTGTTTGGTGGTCTTTCAAGATTCTGAGATAGTATAAAAATACGTAAGGTAGTGTAGTTAAATTCACTATTAATTTCAGCTAGCTAGCTCTATGGCATAATTTTGGTCAATTTTTGGGTACGTAATTTGAGGATCTAATATAATGTTATGATAATGTCTTAAACATATGATATACTCTATATATATATTATTAAAAGTATCATATGATAGTGCTTTCAGAAGACTCAATGTTAAGTAATACTTTATGTATATATTGTTAGAAGAATTATATGATACACTTTATATATATTATATATTGTTAGGAGAATCATATGATAATACTTAAAGAAGGCTTAGTGTCAAATGATATCTAACGAAAATCTAACAAAATTTATGTATTAAAGTGTTAGTTGAAATTATCTGAATTCTACTACGCTTTGAGTTCTTAATACTTTCTCATCTCTTTTAAGATCCAATCATGAGTTAAATTAGATTGAGATAATAAATATACCAATTTTTAAGTATTTTTATGAAATTCTTCTATTCCTATAAGAAATATCAATTTTTGCTATCACTAGTATTATTAATTATATATACCAACTGGTGATAGAACTATTAATACCTTTGATATGCTCTTTGAGATTATTAGGCTATTTTATTTATTTCTTTATTAGTGTCATTATTGCTAATATCACTAGTAAGAGAGTATTATAATACTAGGAAATGGTTTCAAAAACTATTATTAAGTCTGAAGTATATGTGTAATGAAAAAGACCAATCATGTATCGATTCAATTTTTAAGCAGATGGACAACAGGACATCTTGTATTACTGGTCATAGAATTATATAATCCTTCATTACACTCCAGACTAATAAAAAATAAATTTTTCTATGTTAGCCTATTATGTATATGTGTGATATATATGGGGTGAATGCTAAGAAAATGGACCAAATTGATTTTTTTTTAAAAAAAAAGTTTCTAAGTAAAATAGATATAGATTAGGTCATCTGATTCAGATCATTTATTATTTCAAAAAAAAATTTTTTGTCGATTTGGTCCCTTTTTCCAGTATTTACCCATATATGCTATACTTAGTATATAATATATATGCTATAGAAAAAAGTAAAAAAGTTAAAAAACCTCAGATTTTTCTAGTAATACTTATAACACTAGTGGTATCATTAAAAAAAGTTTTTTTTAACAATAAATTCCTAAAGAGCCTATTATTTATGTTATTAGTTCTGTTATTAATTTTTTCTAGTGATAACTGGTAATAAGTTATATTATTTTGTATCACTTTTATTTACATCTATTTTGCTTGTAATAAAGCTAACTTAGCCAGTTTTTTCTATTGATATTATTCTTTTGATTTATGTTTTTTTGCATATATATTACAAAATCCATATCTGAATCTAGTCATTCTATCACATTTTAAGCAAAGATTCTGCTTAGAATTATAATAGGCTTTGTATTCTTCTGGTTGATAATATTCTTGATTATACACTTCTCTAATCCTAAGAATATATAGACAATAATAAAATGCCATTTATATATATTGATTAATAATCTTAGAGAATTAATTTTATTTTAAACTGTTTTATGCAGATAATATATTCTGAGTTTTGGTATAGCTATAAATCTTTTAAAAAAATATTATGACTCAATCAGAGCTTTTAGAGTTTCTTAATGTCTCTGCTTTTTTTCATTCAGAGGCTAAAAAAGATAAAATGGAAGTCCAACTAATTCGCTATTTCAGTGAAAACTACTTGAATAGCATTCTAATTTAATATAATATAGTTGCAAAAAATGATGAGAGATTAACGCAAACCTTGATGATATTTTATTCAGTTACCAAGAAATTTAATTCATAACCATTAATAATAAAGGTTCATCAACAGAAAATATTACTATGTATTATATCTTTACAACTCTCTTATTAATAGCCAAAAAGTAGTACTAATACTTTTTAGTATTTGAGTATTCTTTGACATTCTTATATCAGACAGAAAGATTCTAAATAATTGAGAAACAAAAGTAAAAGATATTCTCTCTAGTAAAGTGAAGACTTTAAAAATAAAGCATATTAAAGTTTTCACTTTTTGCAATTATCATAGAAAAATAACATATTTACGAATTTATACAAGTGGTACTGATAAAAGAAAAATAGCAATTAAAACTGTTTAAAATAATAATTTTAAAACTGCATCAGATGATATATACTCATTTCATCAAAAAGTAACTTGAGAAAATGGAATCCAACTTTCTAGATAGTTTATGCTGAATAAATATATGTATAAGAAAGTGACTAATTCTCTTTATCTACATGTATTCTACATTTCTAAAAAAGATTTTTAACTAGTAAAAGATCTTACAATAATAAGTGATTACTTTTCTACTTCAGCTCTCTTATGAGATTGTACTCTTATTTTTATATTAAATATAAAAATATATGTCTTACAAATGGGAGAATTTGCAGAAATTCTTAAACAAAAAAATAAGATCTTTATGATTTATATGATATTATACTGAAAAGATGATCTAAAGCTATTAAAACAAATCTATTTTTTGACTTTAAAACTATGCTAAACTTACAATAAGTTACAATCATATGTGAAAATCAGATAAATTTGCTAAAAGCATTCATTCTTTACTGGCAAACATTTGCCACTAACATTCAAGTTAGGTTTAATGATTCTGATTATAATTAGCATTTTATTATAGAAAGAACCTATTATCTCAACCTATACAGATAGATGTAAAAGCAGATGATTGGAAAGTTTGAAATAAAAGAAGAAATTCTAAAGTAAAAATATCATGGAAAGATAAAAGCAAAATCTAAAAATACTTTCAAGAAAAAAAAATACTATTAAGTGCTGGTCCGGATAAGATCGGCAAAAAATCATTATATTTATTTAGGGTGAAATTTGCTGATCTACATAGTATTTTTGAATAATACACAAAATGCTGTATAAGGAAAACCCAATAAATATGCATTTCTAAGCCATAAAATTTCATATGATTATGCAAAAATAGTTAGAGATATTGATGCGAAAAAAAAATTTTAAGTTTATATTTTGAGAAAAAAAGTTTACTTTTGGGCGACTATAGATTTCTAAACAAATTATATAAATGATGAAAAATTTAAATTTACAGAAAAAAAAACTTTTTGTTAATAATTTTATTATAAATATTCTTATGCATTTCCAGAGCCTTCAGCCTCTTCTAAAGCACGCTCTGACATATGTATTTTGAAGGAAGATGCTGTCCTAGTAATCTAATTACGTATAGTAAAAACTTTAGGAATGTCATCCTTACTGTATTTACCTTGGATTGCTCGATTCATAAGTTCATCATACATCTCTTGTTCATTTTTTTCTTTTATCCACATTATCATTGAGAAACATTGTCATTAGCAATACTTTGGTTTGTTCTGTAATTGGTTTTTTGTCTCGCTTATTATAGCTTTTCTGATATTCTTTTAAGACCCAACCAGCAAAAAATACTTGACAGCTAATAAAAAAAAAAGAAGGTAAATATTTTATCAACTTACTAGTAATATATAAGATGTTATACCTTTTTGTTTCTATTACACATTCTAATTCACTTGTATTTTCTATAGGGATATTCTTATTATTTGGCTTTAAAAAAATTATTTTCAAATCTTTAGTCTTTCAATAGAATTAGGTGTTAGAAAGCAATATACTCACTAATGTTAGGGGAATATTTTCTTTATCTACAAATTTTACTCAAGAATAAATGTATATTCATTTATTGTCAAATAATGCAATGTGATAAATACACCTGAAATTCTAGGTATAGGTACAGTCCATAATTTTGTTGAGTTTGTATGATTTGATGAAATTGGTTGGGGTTTTTTTATTGGATTTTTTATCAACTTTGCAATTTTTTCTGGTGAAAAACTGTGACATAGACCAGTGCGTGATAATGTACGTGCTAAAATACAACCAGCCTCACTATTCTCAACTGGCCATTTCTATTCGTTCCAGTTAGATATTCCAGCTATTACTACTTGTTTCTGAAAAAATATATATATATAAGAAAAGAATAATAATTTTACTTATATGCATTATAATATACAAACCATTTTCACGATTTGGTTTCAGATGTGCTATGTGAGTTTCAGAAAGATTTTGTATGGCATTCTCAATATCTTGGCCTTCTGTAATTTTATATCCCAAACGAACATGACGCTTCATTGCATGAGTAAGCTAAAAAGAATAAAAAAAAATTATAAATCTCAACTCTAAGTATAATAAAGAGAAATATATAACAAACCTGGATATAATATGAATCAATTGATGTTTTTGCTTCGCCAGGTTCTAAAAACATCTATTTTCGAATTTCAATACCATACCAGTCATACCAATATGATAAGATTATCATCAATTCAGTATTATGGTAATGAGGACCATTGTCTGAAATTATGGTAACCCATTTAGGTTTTTTTTCCAAATTTTCTACAACTGTATGCAAGGATGACACAGTGAACCAAGCATCCTGCTTGGTGTCATTAGACCAATAATCAAAAGCCTCTATATTTAGAGTAGCGACATTATCATTTTTTGTATATATCAATACTGAGTGTAACGTTCATCCTCTTTTTCCGAAAAATGCAGCCTTTGTTTCTCATGATGATTTTGGAAGAATTCTCATTTTGAAGTCTACAATTAGCAACGCACCATCTTGATCAAGGTCCTGAAAATTTATTTTGAACTGGAAATTTAGATATGTTTTTCGTATATGATGAGCAAGAAAATAAATTAGGTGCTTTTCATAGTTATCTAAGATATTGTGATATTCTAATGAAAGATTTTTTCGTAACAATTCAAAAATAGAAAAAATTCTTTACAATCTGAACATATTTCTGGATTAGAAGAATTACAATCATTTAACGCATGGGAAAGACAATGACAGATGCATGAAGAATAGCAGGCTTTTTCAGTTGAGTCAATTGATAATTTTGATGAAAAATCTTTTTTGAGATATCGTCGAAGAGATTGCAAATGTTCCACTAATATTTTCTGTATAATATTTATTAGCATTAGTTGGTAAATTGAATTTTGCATTTATACAAAATAATGGGTTATGCCTACTTTTACAGAATTATTTCTAATACAATTTTCTATTAGTTTCATTATTTCTAAAAAAACTTCATATCCATACTCATTACAAATTGAACATAAACCTCCTAAATTATCTCTATATAAATATTAGCCACCTTCTAATCATGACATAAATGCAGTACGATGCATTCCATCTAGATACAATTCAGAATATTTTTCCAAAGTGCAAATTTGTGATTTTGTAAATAATAAATAGGTAGACCAGTTTTTGGATCAGTTTTATATGAATTCATTGAAACATTTGATTTATCTAATAAAAAATCATCAAATTGTGCTATAATTTCAGGGTTGAATTTTCTCTTTTAAATTGAGGTTTCTGTAAAGGTGGTACTCCATATTCATTAAGATTTGCATGTCTTTTCGATTCAAGAATGATGTGCTTATCAACCTATTTATTGATAGATAGTGGAGATGGAGGTGGTGGTGATAGAATAGTAGATTAGTGATAATGGAAATAATAATGATGACGAAAACGGAGATGATGAAAATGAAGGTAGCAAAAACAGAAAAAATAGATGTAGTAGTAGAGGTTGTAAAAATGAAAGTAGCAGAAATGGAGATAGTAGTGGTAATGAAAATAATAATGGTAACGGAAATAATAATGATGGTGAAAATTGAGGTGGTGGAAATAGAGGTATGAAACAAAAATAGTGGTGTAATAAAGGTGGTGAAAATGGAAATAGTGATAGTAATAGAGGTGGTGAAAACAGAGATGGGAATAAAGGTGATATACAGTATATAATAGAATTGAAGATAATAGTGGTAACAGAAATTATAGTGATGGTGGAAATGTGGTAATAGAAATGGTAAAAATGAAGATAATGGAAATGAAAATAGTGGTGGTGATGGAAATAGAGAGGTGGTGTAGATAATAGAAACGAAAATAATAGCAATAATAGCGATAATAGTGATAATAGAAGTGAAAACAATAAAAATAGAGGTGGTGGAAAAAGAAATAATGGTAATAATAAAATTAGAATGAAGATAATGATAGTGACGACAATGAAGGTGGTATAGGTGATGAAATCGAAGATAATAGTGATGAGAATAGAGGTAGTAAAGTTATGAAATTCAATAAAAAAAAATAAAAAATGATTTCATACCTTCAAATTTCTTTCTAATTCAACATATGTAAACTGATCAGAAATAATAGATAAAATTCTTCTTTTTCTATCATTATTTTTTTTATTATCATGTAAAGCTTGAGCAAAACAATTTCAAAAGATTTGTGTATTATTACGTTGGTTTAAAGGACTTGAAGTAAGAAATCTAAATTTATATAAAGATAATAGCATTTCTTTATCACTGGTTGGATTTGTAGCTTTAGTCCAAAACTGGTACTAAAATACAAAATATATAGATTTATTTATTTATAAATGCAAAACTGATTGCAAAAAAAAAAATCTCACCTTCAATTCTTTTTTTGTAAACGGAGTTATATTATGGCATTCAGCAGACTTTAGCATACATTGCCATGCTCTTATTTCTTGATCTCAAATTTATGCCGAGCAGGGTATAGAGATTTTAATTGTACATATAATTCAATGACATTGCTTTTATTATTTATCCAATTTTCAAATAAAGTATACCATCTTATATCTGAATAAGTTCGTTGTTTGAGATGATATTTGAAGAGTGTTTCCATAAGGGTGTAATTTGTCCAATCACTTGGTCTGCAGGTGGGAACACAATACTCAGCAAGATTTTGCTGTATTATCGAATTATTTAGTCCAAAAAGGGTAGTACTGTCAAACTTTTATAATATACTCGAAGCTTTCCAAACTTCATTTGGTGAATGACTTTCGAATAATTTCACACATTGATATCCTTGATATACTTCACTTGTACATTGATTATCTTCAATTTTTGACACAAATAGAGTTTGATTTTTATTGTATGTATAAATAAAAGATGACATATAATCGGGTCCAACATTATGAAATACATATTTTGACGAAGTACCTAGTTGAAATACAAAAATTTTGATTTTATCTAAACAAATAAAGAAAGGAAAAATGTAACGTCCTCTTGAAGTTCTTCAATTATATTTTTGTCATTATAACTAATAGCTATAGCATCAGATTTTCTTGTTTTGTTGTGAAAAATTTGCATATATAAACTTGAAATAGCTTCTGTGGCTGAAGTTTCTACATTACTTGAAAATTCTCCTGATTTACAACAATAACCAGGACATTTTAGACTTTCTTTATTGCCAACTATAACTCTAATTATAAATTCTTGTTCATTAAGAAAAATATGCATTTTCTGGCCCACGTGTATAGGTATTAGTTTGTTTTCAGCTTCCGATGTGACATTTCCACTTTTTGGAATCTACCAATAATGTGAAAATGTGCCATAACGTACATTCTCAAGAAGTTTTTCTGCTGAAATTAAAGTAACCTTAGTATTTTGTTTCTTTGGCATTATGTATTTACAGTAGAAAGTATGTATAGCGTGTAATTCAAAACGTCTTTAAAAACAATAAGACTAATATCCCCAAATTTTGTATTATGCATATATATTTATCAGTACTGATCATAGCTGGATCGGTAATTAAGGAAGATAAGAAGAATCTGAAAGAGAAAGAATATATAGAAGATTCAATTAGAATTAAAATTACTTAGATAAGAATAATAATTTTATTTTTAGTTTTTTAAACTGTCTGAATGTATACCAATTGATGTTCAAGTGTATCTCAAAAAACATTACCCTAATTCTAAAGAGAAAAGTGAACCTTATTTAAATTCTTCTTAGAAAAGTGTAGACTTATTATTAAAGCTGATATGCCATATAATAAAATTTGAAGAATCTATTCAAAAAATATAAAAGGATCCTTCTTCTTTAACTGCAAGAAAAATGTATAAAGTAGCTAACCTATAACTGTTAATCCTAAATACCATGTAAAGGTAGCAAGCTTCATTCAGGTTTTTTTTAACAGAATTTAGAAAAAAAATTTATAAAAAAAAACCAAGTGAAAAGGGATAAGTAAAGATAATGGAAAAGATAAAGAAAAAAGAGATTAGTTAAAATTATGAAATATGAAAAAAGAATGAAGGTAGTTGGAAAAAGAAGTGACAATAGTTGGAACAACAGATTATTAAGAGTTATGTTGGGTTTCAGATTAAGAGGATTAAGAGGATTGAGAGAAAGGGTTATTTTGAGTTTCAATAGAGAGGATTGAGAGGGAGGGTTATTTTGAGTTTCGGATAGAGAGGATTGAGAGGATTGAGAGAATTCTAAAAAATTTAAATTTAAATTTAAGTTAAAATAATATTGATATTATCTGAATAAATTTCTTATCTTGAGATCTTTTGGCTAATCTTGCAAACTTTCTTTCATATACATATAATACTAAATAACATAAATATTTAATTTTAATAATGATTTTTTTCAATTAACTATCAATTGGAAAGTTTTATTATTTCAATCTGGTTTCTCCCAAAATCGGGTTTTGAATTGTTTCCCAAAAACTTTTCCAACATGAGTCCACCTTCCTTTTTTGTCCCAATCAGCATACTTTTCAAATAACTAAAAATTAAAATTATTAAAATATTATTATTCTTTCATTTACTAATATTTTAATTATTTTACAATTCCTGACTATCCTTTTAAATTTTCTCTTGCCTGTAACTTATTAAATGCAGTCATAAACCTTTCTTGTATCAATGCCACAATCTCATTCCAAAATGTCAACTTAATTTTCTGAATTTTCTCCAGTAATCATCATTCTATTCCCTTCTTAAGTTGATCAAAAGTTGCATTTCTTCATCAGACTATTTGATAGTAACGCACATTTTAGAAATTGTAAAATTGTTATTTGAGAAATATTTAAAAATTATCAATATGAAAGATTAAACAATTATAGAAATAAAAATGCGATAAAACTTCTCTTATATAAAATTGTATTGAAACATGTCAGCATTTAATGTATTCAATAAGTTGGCAAAATATCTAATTTTTATGCAAAAGTTAAATAAATGATCTAATTTTTTAGCAATTTCAAAATTTACACAGTTTTCGCAATTGAAATTTTCAGCAATTTCAAATTTGAATTATAGAAATTAAATAAATTGAATCAACGAATTAATCACCACACTGACTAGCCCTAAGTTCGACACTAATTAATCCTTATAGAAATTTATTAAATAATTATAATTTGATTTACTATATGGTCAAAATAGCAGCTAAAAATTTGGCTGAACTAATTATCCAGTTTAAAACTGGTTTATCACTATTGTATTACAACAAAATTTAGTAATCATCATTGATTTATTATAATCTTAAATCTCACCTAATCTTTATAATATTTATAATAACCTTTTTATTCTTACTATCATAAAAGTAAAACAAGAACCACTACATAAATTTCTTTTTACTTACCTTCTGATTGTACTTTGTGGTCATTTAGGATCAGAACTTGTACGTTTTGCGTAAGCACAACTGAAAAATTATCAATAGAATTAGTAAGTAACTTTTTTGCTTGACTGATCGTCCTCGTCATCTTAGATGTTTGTTTTTCTTATATAAGGCAAAATGGAAAGTGTCAGAAAGTATACATTGCAGTCGAAGCAGCAGAGATAATTAAAAATATTTGAGTTAATAGAAGGATAATAAGCATTATATCCAGGTATTTTAAGCTTATCACAATACTCTAATATATGAAGCAGATTTAAAAAATGTCTATCTTTTCTTTTTGTTACAGATGGGAGAAACCCATAATTTTCCGCAAGAAGAATAACTGCCTCTTTATAATATTTAGGCAAACAATAAGAAGAATTGTTGCATTTCTTAATGTTAAGTGAATATTGACACATTTTGATATTATTTTTTAACCATTGCCAAGGTATAGCCAATTCATTGACATTTTCTTTTTCAGACCCAACAAATATAATATCACCAAATGGAGAGTTTTTCTGGTCAGTGTATTATGTGACAACTGGTTTTCCGAAGATAGAATCATGCTTTCAGAGAGTACACAAAGCCTCACCAGTATAACAAAAGCTTTTATTGTAAGCTTCAAATTAGTTACTTGGCCTTGAGAGTTGAGATGAGAACTATATTTGTCAATTGGCAATGTTATGCCAGCTAGTTTTTAAGAGAGTATTGCTATACTACGCTTGATAGGGTTATATGTTGATTAATTAGATGCATGCATTCAAACAGAAAGATAATCAAAATCAAAGACACGAAATATTCTACAATATTGAAGAATATTTTTCATATGACAGGGATTTCATCTGAACCTTCATCAACTAAAAGAATTCAAATGAGTTTGATTTAGCCATCAACTTTTAATACCCCATCAAAATGATTATCTTGAATTAGCGAGTTCAGATTACTTATATGCAAGGTTGGGAATTTTGTATGTACTAGATAAAATTACCACTGTACTTATACTGTACTTATACTAATTTTTATATTAATTATTATAATGTACTAATTGTACTAACTGTACTAATCATTATACTAATACTGTACTTTCCAACCCTGCTCATATGAGTAGTTGAGCTTGTATTAACTTGGTATTATAGACAAGGCGAAAACAGATAACATGATTCAGTTAAATTAGACCTAATCAGCTAAAAGTTTGTATCACATATGATCTTCACGATAGTTTCAAACGCTAGCAAGTTTTTCTATAAATCATGAGATGATCGATTAATCAGGTTTTGAATTTTTTCTTTAGCTAAATAAGCATAATAGGAATTCGGGAAAATGCTTACAAATAAAATGTACATGCAAAAAAAATTATTATTTTTCTGATGGTAAAGTCTGGACAAGCTTGTCAAAATTGAGCAGAAGCTAGGGTTTCCGTTTGAAATTCAAATTGAATTTCAAATATTTGAAAATTTTTTAAAAAATATTCAAACAAATATTGAAATTATTTCAAATATCAAAATTAATTTCAAATATCAAAAAGCATAATTTGATTTTGATTATCAAAATATATATTTTTTTTAATTTTCATTTTTTAATATTTATTTTTGGTTAGTTATTTATAATAAAAATTATAAAAAATTTTCATTTTAAAATTTTTAAAAAATTTTATTTTTTTTTTAAATTATTCCTTAGATTGTAGGGTTTTATAGGCAAATTTGCCTGCTTATTTACTATAAATTCTCTTCTGATTTACTTTTATAAATAATTAATATTTTTAAAATTATTTTTTTTAAATTAATTTTATAAATATATAATAAATTTAGTAAGTTTTATTTTTTAATTATATATTAAAAATTTAAGATTACTTAAAAGTTAAAATTTGTAATTTTTTAAAAAAAAAATTAAATTATAAAATTTCATGATTAATCTATAATAAACTTTTTAGAATTTACCTTTAACTATATTAATTATAATAAAATATTATAAAATTACTTATAAAGTAAAACTTTTATTATTTTAATTTTTATAATTTATTAAGAAATTTTATGATTTTAATTAATAATAAAGTGATTCAATTAGTATGCAAACATATAAATCTTTAAAGAATTTTAAAAAATTATTATAAAAAATTATTTGAAACTTAATTTTAAAATTAGATTATTTTAAAAACCTTTTAAAAAACTAAAAAACTTAAAATCTTTATTAATAAAGTTGATAAAAATATATTAAACTATATTTTTTATACAATAATAACAATAATAATATGGGATGCAGTCAGTAAAAAAGAAGAAAATTTTGTTAATTTGAATTATTAAACTAATTTTGTATACATGAATAAGATCAGTTCAATAATATAAATTTTGACTAAAATTTAGATTTTTCCTTTTTTTACTGATTGTCTCACATATTACTAAAATTAAATATTTAATATTTTATAAAGAAATTAACACTTCCTTTTAACTTTATAGGCAAAATTGTCTGCTTTACAGTTTAAGGGATAACAAATCTTCATTTCTGGAGATCACAATTCATTATAATGAGAAAATTCAATAATGTTTTAATAATTTATTAATTATATAATAATACTGAATATTATATCCAAATTCAGTATATGATAATAAGTTTAGGAATAATGTAAAATAAATAAATATAAATAAAAAATAAATAATAAATTAAAGTTATAAAGGTATGCTTGCTCTTAACCAGATATAGATTAATCTATAACTGTTGATCCTAAACATCACGTGAAGATGACAAACTTTGTTCAGAATTTTTTAACAGAATTTAAAAAAAAATTATAAAAAATATCGAGTGAAAAGAAATAAGTGAAGATAATAGAAAAGAGAGTTTAATTAAAATTATGAAATATAAAAAAAATAAAAATAGTTGGAAAAAAGAGTGACAATAGTAGGAAAGAAAAGTAAAAAGGGTTTCAGATTGAAAGGTTATGAGAAGGAGAAGGATTCTAAAAAATTTAAATTTAAATTTAGGTTAAAATAATATTGATATTAACTGAATAAATTTTTTACCTTAAGCTCTTTTAGCTAATTATGCAAGCCTTTTTTCTTATATATGTAATGCTAAAATTAAATTTTAATAATGATTTTTTTCAATTAATATCAATTGAAAAATTTCATTATAACAACCAGGTCTTTTCTAAAATGGGATTTTAATTGTTCGCCAAACACTTCTTCAACATAGGTCTACTTTCTTTTAGATCACATCAATGTACTTTTCAAACAACTAAAGAATTAAAATTATTAAATGTTTTGTAAATATAATTAATATAATTATTATTCTTTCATTTACTAGTATTTTACTTACTTTACAATTTTTCAACATCCCTTTAAATTTTTCTTGCCTGCAATTCATTAAATGCTATCATAAACCTTTCTTATATTATTGTCATAAACTTGTTTTAAAAATAACCTCAATCTTTCGAACCTTCTCCAATAATCTTTATTTTTTTTCCCCTTTAAGTTGACAAAAAATTGCATTTCTTTATAAAATCATTCAATTATGACAGATATTTTTGAAATTTATAATTTGTTAAAAAAGGAAAAATTTAAAAATTGTCAATGTATAAGATTGAATAATTTAAGAAACAAAATGTGATAAAACTTTTCTTATATAAAACTGTATCAAAATATGTCAGCATTTAATGCATTCAATGAGTTAATAATATATCTAATTTTTATGCAAAATTTAAAGAAATGATATAATTTTTAGCAATTTTAAAATTTATGCAGTTTTTGTAAATGAAATTTTCGCAATTTTAAAATTGTGCAGTTTTCGCAGTTTTGCAATTGAAATTTTCAGTAATTTCAAATTTGAATTATAGAAATTTAATCAACAAATTAATTATCACTGATTTAACACTGATTATTCTTAAGTTTAATACTAATTAATCTAAGGTTTAATACTAATTAATTCTTATATAAATTTATTAAATAATTATAATTTGTTTTACTATATAATCAAAACTATAGCTAAAAATTTAGTTATCTGATTTAAAACTAGTTTATTTAACATATTTTTTATTATATAAATTCAGCATAACTTACATAATACAAGACTTCAATTTATTATACATAATAATAAGTTTATTATAAAATTAAAATTGATGTTGTACAATCTCTGATAAAAAATAATTTTTAATATTTATAATACAAAAATTCTAAAACCTTTTTGTTAGATTTTATTAAACTTAACTCTTTTAAAGGAGTTTTACAAAAGCATTTCAAACTCACAAACTGATATATTATAGTTGTACTGCAATAAAATTTAGTAATTATCATTGATTTATTATAATCTTAAAACTTGTCCAATCTTTATAATGATCTTTCTATTTTGCTATCATAAAAGTAAAACAAGAGTCACCTTATAAATTTCTTTTTACTCACTTTCTGATTGTACTTTGCATTCATTTAGGATTAAATCTTATATGTCCTACACAGATACAGCTGAAAAATCATTAATAAAATTAGTAAGTAACTCTTTTGCTTAACTGGTTATTTTCGTTATCTTAGATGTTTATTTTTCTTATATAGGCAAAAAATGGAAAGTGTCAAAAAGTATGCATTGCAGTTGAAGTAGTAGAGATAATTATAAATATTCGAGTTAATATAAGGATAATAAGCATCATATCCAGGTATTTTAAGCTTATCACAATACACTAATATATTAAACAGATTTAAAATGTCTATTTTTTCCCTTTGTAACAGATGAGAGAAACCATCATTTTTCACAAAAAAATAGCTACCTCTTTATGACATTTGGACAAATAACAAGAAGAATCATTGCATTTTTTAATGTCAAATGAATATTGACATATTTTGGTGTGATTTTCTAACCATTGTCAATTTGTTAATATTTTCTTTTTTAGATCTAGAAAATATGATATCACTAAATGAAAAGCTTTTCTGATCAGTGTATTATGCAACAACTGGTTTTCTGAAGATAGAATCATATTTTTAAAGTATACACAAAGTTTTACTAGTATAACAAAAGTTTTTATTGCAAGCTCCAAATTAATTACTTGACCTTAAGAGTTAAAATGAGAATCATATTTATCAATTGGCAATGTTATGATAGCTAGTTTTTGAAAGAATATTGCTATATTGCATTTGATAGAATTATATGCTGATTAATTGAATGTGTACGTTCAAATAAAAAGATAATCAAGATCAAAGACACGAAACATTCTACAATATTAAAGAATGTTTTTTATGTGGCAAAAATTGTCATTTAGTCTTCTATCAACTATAAGAATCCAAATGGATTTGATCTAGCCATTAATTTATAATATTCCATCAAAACGATTATCTTGAGTTAGTAAGTTTAAATCACTTATATAAGTGGTTAAGCTTGTACCAATTTGGTATTGTTGACGCACAAAAATTGAAAGTTTGTCACTATGAAAAATATCATTTATGTTGTGATCAGACATCTAACTGAAGGAATATCAAGAGAAATATTGGCTTTATCATTCTGGAATGATAACAGAATGGGTCAAAACTAAGGCCACAAATTGTTTTGCTCCTTTTATAGACATAAGATAATAATGTTCATCAACGTATTCCTTTCTTTCATTTCATAAAACATAGGCATTTCAATAATAGCAGGGTGGTGATGAGTTTTAGCTGTTATAGTATTCGATCTGAATGTTAACAAGTAATTATTAAGGGTAGTACGAGAAAGATACTCATTATATTTTGAATTTAGAGCTTCTTGAAGATGACGAATGGTTCTAATTTTAATAATTTCTTTTCTCCTTTTTTATCTGCAGCTCCAAACTCAATACTCTCGTATATATGCTTATGTAAATCAGGATATTGAATCAGAAGAAGTGGACGACCAGGCATGTGAATTACCGCCGAATATGTTCAAATTGTAGGAGATATAAATATATTACTATATTATAATATCATTTATCAATGCATTAAGTTCCTTTGATCCGGATATTTCAAATGAATGCTATTTTACTTTATAATCCTTTGTTAATACTTTAACGAAACTAACATGCCTATTCACACATCCCAAATATTCTTCAAGACTGATGATACTTCTAATACCAGAGGAAATGAAACAATCAAAAATCTTTTAACTGCGGGATCATTAGTCAAAAGTTTAACAAAAACTTTTATCGATTAATAGAAAATATTATTACAATTTATACTAATTTTTGATATTGGATGAAGCGTGTATCATTAATAAAATCATATAAAAATAAATTATTTTAAGACTTTTTACTAGCAGTCATAACTTCGTTATAATATATTAATAAATGTAAATTACAAAGCAATATCCATTAGATTTTGCTTATAATTTTCCCTAATTCTTTAATTTCTTGAGAAATTTCTGAATTAAAGTCAATACTACTATATTGAATTTTATGCAAATCTGTATCTTCCAAAGTTTCCCATACATCATTCAATCGCTCTACTAAATTATGCATAATTACTGAAATTTCAATAAGATCCGTAGCCATTTTAATATTCATAGTTCTAAGCTCCTTTAATAGCTGGAATCTATTTTTTAACCTACCGAATGCAGAATCGCCTAATAAATAATCATTTTCTTCAAATAATTGGTTTTTGCAAAGGTAAAGTTTAGAATTTCGAAACACCTTAGCATCATGAGCCGATGCAGGATAACCAATATCATAGACAATTTACTTGGGGCCTCAAATAAATTCATGTGAGATCCAAATAAATTAGGAAATCCGTGTTTTTCTTCAAATCCTCTATGTACTGTACTTCTTGACGATAATTATCGCGTGGCCAAATAATAGTTTGGGATTTTAATGATTTAAGAGCAACAATTATTCTTGATGTAAACAACAAAACAGTCCCTTCTGCAATTCCAAACTTGGAACAAATTTCCCATATGGTAGATTTTCCACCTAACCTATATAGAAGCACAGCCAATTGTTTCTCTACAGATGATTGTTTTTTTGAAAAATTTCATGGTCAACAAATTTCCAAAATGTTGATTGATTCATTCTTAATGTTCTACGAAATCGTATATCATCATAATTAAATAAAATTGTTTCGTACCAATGGTTTGATTTAGGTTGTAATAAGTAACTGAAGTACTTTGATTTAAACGAGAAATAATAAGATTAAGTTAATAAATCATCATAACAAGAATCATTATTTATTTCATCAAGCATAGTTGAGTTTAACGCATCTAAGGATAATTGAGGATTTATTATTGTATGCGTTGCCTTTTGTACTTTTTTTTTGAAAATTTGAATATTTTTTCAAACATAATTTGTTCCTTTATTTATATAAAAAAAATGTTAATATTTGAATAAAGATATCTTGTCTTCTAAATTCGAATTATGTATACTCTGTTGTAATAATAATACATTCAAATCACAAGACCGGAAAATTTACTGATAAATAAAAAATTAAAAATAAATTACTGCGACTTGGTCTTACTATATCCAATCTAAATTATAAGGTCCTTATTTTTTGGCTTTTGTTTGATAATTCTGATTTTTCTAGATATTAAACCATCTATTCGATTTTAACTGGATGACATACTTGCCACAATTTTTTAATGTCGATTTTTTATTGGATATTGTATTAAAAAAAAAAAAAAATTGATAAATAAAAGAAAATTCTTTCTCCCACCTTAAATTATTCAATAAAAATGAAACTTTCGTGGTCACTTGATGGATTAGAGGTACATAAAAAATTACAGAATATTAAAGAATACCTTTAAAAAAAAAAAAAATTTATTATCCAATTTTTTTAATTGATTATTTTTTCGATTTCAAACGTGTCTAGGATAGGTTGAAGGAACATAGTGAGTTCATTGATTCGCTACTGTGTTTGATACCTCCGAAGCATTATTTCAAGAATGATGTAAGAGTGATCATATTTTTTGAAGAAACATTTGTAATTGATAATGGTTAATGAATGTATTTTTTGTCTCTAGCCTAATGCTTCAGACGACGAAGAAAAATTTCAACCAAATAAAAAGAAAAGAATTCCTAAGCAAGTTATTAATGAACAAAAGAAACAAGCAAAAAAACAAAAGGTGATTAAAAAATATAAATTATTTAATTGATGATTTGATTATTAATATCCTTTTTCTTTTTTTTAATTAGCTTGATCCTAATAATTTAAAAACTGTGCAAGAACTTCAAAAAGAAAAGTTGTACAAGATTCAACAAGAAAAACAAAAACAAAAAGATGAAGATGAAGATGAAGAGATTGAAGATGTCATAATAGATAAAGAAGAAAATGACGGAGAGCAAATTGAGAAAGACACCGATGAAGAAGAGGAGGAAGAAAATGGAGATGAGGAAAGTGACAAGGAGTCTCAATCCGATTCAGATGACGATGCCGAAAGTGATGAAGAGAATGACAAGAATAAAATTATAACTGGTAATAACAGATGATGGTCTTTACTTTAGCCTTATATCACTTGACTAATAATTAATTTGTAGAATCAAGGAAAAAGGATTCACCAAAAATACAACCGGTTCCTGACCGTCTTGCAAGAATTATTCATTCAAAACGACTTGCAGATACCACCAATACGGATTCCTCTAAAAAAGATAAAAGAAAAAAATTACAAGAATTCAAGAAACAACAAAAGAAATTAAAGCAAAAACAATCAAAAATTAATAAGGAAGACGGTAGTCAAATAAAAAGTGAAGAAAAGAATATAAATGTACATGAAGATACCAATAAAGAAGGAGTTTCTAAGAAGGTTGGTGATATCAAGACAGGTGAAGATTTTAAAAAGACAGGTGAAGATATTAAAAAGGCAGGTAGAGATATTAAAAAGAGTGGAAGCGTTAAAAGAAAAATTGGTGATGATGATATTGAGGAAGATTCTTTGCAGCAAAAAAATGGCTTACAATTTGCTAAATTTGATTTTGCGGATGGAAAAAAGAAAAAGAAAAAAATAGATGATGTCCACCTCAAAGTCAAAGTAAATTTTTGAACTTTACATTTATAAAAAAAACTTTTTAATCTTGTTACTAAATATAATTCGGCTAATTGGTTTTAATGATTTTAATGATAGTTACAAGATAAAATTGAAAAAGTAAAGGAATTAAAAAAAAAGGATCCTGAGAAGGTAATTGATTAATTTCCATTCTAATATTCATTCTTTAAATGAAGTGATTACTGTGACATTTTATGTTACCTTTTGATTATGAAGGCTGCAGATTTACAAGAAAAAGAAGCGTGGGATAAAGCATTTCTGAAGGCACAAGGAGAAAAGGTTAAGGATGATCCCAAATTGTTAGCAAAAACTATTAAAAAGAAAGTTGTCAAAAAAAAGAAAAGTGAAAAGGCTTGGTAAGGTTACATATAACATTTCTATTTCCGCTTATACTTGGAAACTTTTTTAATTTTTATGGGATAAACCATTATAGGAAAGATCGTATTGAATCTGTTGAAAATTCCATGGCTGAAAGACAAAAAACTCGAACAGAGAATATTAAAGCTAGGGTTGATGCAAAGAATAAAAAGGTATTTCTATCAATATTTTTTTTTTTTAAAAAATTTTTTTTTTCGCATTAAAATTTACAACGTTATTAATTTAAGAAAAAGAATAAGCGAAAATAATCAGGTAAGGAATATAATAATTTACTTTTTTAGCGTGAAATAACGAATAAATGAATACCTTTCATATCACAATGAAAATCATATCACAATGAAATCATTTAACATACCAAACAAGAATTCTAAGCTATTTAATGATAAATATTTACTGCGAAAATTTTTTAAATATATCTCGAGATTCATTAATAAATGATCGTCATAAAGAAATTATTGGCAAGTAGATAGACAAAGACAAAACAAAACAGCCCCCCTTGTACTCAAAAAAAAAATAAAGGTTATACATTTAAAGAAAAAAAATTTTTTTTTTTAAGTTATTGATTTCTTGATGTAACGTACTTAATACGTTATCCTACGAAATTACGAAATGTTTTATATTTATCCAATAAAATAAAATAAAATAAAAAATGTTATTTTTAATGCCTACGTTAAAATTTATGTGATTGAACAATTTTCTTTATGAGAATAAAGCGATAGCTGAAAAAAATCGCGCAACGAAAGAATTTTTAAACATTAAAAACATTTTAGTACATAGTGTACGCATGTTCGGAAATATTATTGGATAAGCGCACCGAAATTCCACCCAGTTGCGCTAAAATATTCGGCGCAGTAAACGCGGATAATCTATTATAATGTTATCTTTTTTCATGTTCCATCAATGATGAATTTGGAGATTTAGAGGACCTTAACATTTATTGTGTAAGAACCCAAACTTGGTTAATCAGGAATATTCTTTTATTGAAGAATACAAAAGAATGAATTTTCTATATGCACTTGTTAACAAGCGTGGTATTACATGTTTCGTTCAATGTAAGCTTGACATAACACAGGTTGTATTATTAATCATTAAAAACACCAAAACTTTTAACCGAATATTAAATCCACCCCTATTCCTTTTAATCCTTTCATTAACCCTTTATTCTTCTATAAGAATTGTGCATGTGTAATCATGTAACACTTTCTTACCGGTAAGTGGATGACAGAATGTCTTTAAGATTTAGATGTCAATTATGATATTTTGAATGAATTTCTTTATTCTTTCAAAAATACCGTCACATCCTGATATAGGAAAAATATATGCCTGCTCGTTTCATTGTCAATAAACGTGCTCCCATATTCTCACATTGAACGTAAGAATTTTAAACACTTTGGCGTATAAAATTTCCAAAATTGTTAATATAAATGTAATGACAATAAGGTGAGGTCATGGCATTCGTAAATATAAAAGGCAGGCTTTTTCGCGGCAGATCTAATTTTTATCACCAAAATATTTCAATTTTTTTTTGGCGTCAAGTCTCGTCAATAATTTTTTTTTTATAATTATCAACTAATACCTTTCCTTAATATGAAAGCACATTTATTCGATGAATTAGTATGTATACAAACATTAAGACAAAAAATACTAAATATTTATATTTGCTTTACTGATTTATTGACATCTGTTATTAGAACGATGAAATTATCCAAGATTGCATGCGCGAGCTTGAACGAGGTGAAAATACTCGAAATCCTTTTGCGAGAATAGCAGAGGTTCTTCCCCAATATAAAGCTCGGCAAATTTGTCATCGGTATATAAAATTACGCGTTCTTATATATATATATTTCTAAATAAATTCACTAAAAAATTAAAATTTTTTTTATCTTTATATAGCTATCGTAATAAAATTGATTCGCGCAGTACGTGAAACATTATCCTTTTAATTATCTTTTTAATATATTTTAATATATTATTTTATTTATTATTACTATTATTTTTTTTTAGTTTGTCAAGATCCTTTAAACGAAAGTGAAAAACAATTTGTTATTCGTTGGATTGAGACAAATCAAACATCGAGCGGTAGCGGTACCATTCATTGGAAAAGTTTGGTCCTCGAATTAAAAATTCAATGTGGGATATTAAGATCACGAAATAAGCTTAAGAATTTCTGGTATTCGAGAAAAAAACATCTTTTACAAACAAAAATACGAACTGTCTCAAAAAGAAGTGCGGTCATTTCCCCTTCCTTGTCATTATCGCCAATTCTTCAACCTGTTCTACCTGATTTCATGGAACCTAAATTTCAACCAGATTTTCAATTAAAAGAACCAAAGATGGAACCACTCTTTAATTAATTATTGTCTTGAACTATATAATATTTTCATATCACATATACATTAACCTTTCATATACTTTCTTTGTACATTTTTTATCACTTCCATTTTTTTAAGAAAATGAAAAGAAAAAAAAAATTTTAAAATTTTAAAAAAGAAAAAAAAATACACCAAAATTTATTCATAGAATAGTTTAACCATAGATAATATTTTAAGATCTTTACTAAAAAAAAAAAAATTATTTTAACAAATATATAGTGAGACCTAAACTTTATAAGAAACAAAAAACGAACGAAGCTCCGAATTGTAACACGAACTAATAAAAAAATTTTTTTCGATGTACATAAATGATCTTTAATTTAAATTAAAAATATCCGACCCGAGATTACAGAAAAATCCATGAATCCATGCTAAAAATCACGGTTGGCGAGAAACCAATAAATAAGGGATATGTTTTAAATATGAATGAAATTTTTAACATGTCGTGGTAAATTAATTACCTATTACTTCAATGAATAAACTCTGTTGCATTTTGCAGATTTTGAAAATCAAACGCGTAGCATCAATTATAACTTTGCATTTTTTTTATTTTTTTATTTTTTTTGGAAATTTTCCTAAGGTGAGGTGTATTCATTCTATCAGAGAATTCTTATTTATTGATAAAAAAAATATATATATATTAGGAAAATAGGAGAGTGTTTTTATGTAACGATACACAAAGATCCTATTTATATTACGAAAATGCGGAGTTTTGTTCATGTTTGTGACAAATATTTATTTTTATTTCATCATCCGAACTTTAATTCTAAATTTGTTTTTTATAGAATGTTGACAAAGAATTTACACATTTAATGTGCTATGACATTACAGTTTCACAACTGCCAAGATTATAATTTTGTATTCAAAGAGAATTATGTTAATGAAATTTATGTAATATTTGTTATTTAAAAATTAGATGAAAGAAAAATCGTGCTTTTTTAGTCATGGAAAATTTCTGTGAGATGAATATTTGGCTTTCCATAATAAATATATTTCTTTATTATAAAATTTAAAATTTGATTATCAATAAAAAAATATGTATACCATATTTTTATAAGATATTATTTAGATTTTCAATTTATTATTATTTAGATGAACAATCGATAATCCTTTTATTTTTATAATCATAAACAAACGATTGAATAAATAATATAAAAAAAAGTCATTCTTCAATTTATATTTTACCTTCAAAGTTACATTTATTCGCTCCTAGATATCTATCAGAAATTCTCATGGACATGTGTACAAAATTCCCCACATTTTATTATTGATTACAGTTAAAAAAGAGTAAATATTTAGAAAATATTCTAGATGTTAGTGACTAGTAAGTAAATATTGGTATTATCGAGACAAAGAAACGATGATTCTGGGTATAGGTTAAGGATAGTGCGTGGGGTTAGATTAAGTGTTAGGAAAGACAATTCGCGAAGCCCCTTTTAAGGGGAACGACGTACAAATTTCCCACTTAAGCATTTCGAATGATTTAATCATCTATAGTTATTTATTTGTTTCTTCTTTAATCTGATAGTTCATCTTTATATTTTTAATTTTTATTTTTACCGTGTAGCATCTTTTGTTTGCATCTTGCACATTTAAATGTATTATTTTAATTTATACTATTATAAGATACAGTACGTCATAAAGGAACATTAAAATCCTGTTATCGATATTTTGTGAGACGTACAAGTAACATAAGCTCGCATTTTAATATTTCCTTGACGTAACAAATTTACTAAGGAATCTACCGCTGCTGACATTCGGATTCACTTTTGTAATATGAAAATATGAAAGAATTTAATTGTATGTAACTCTGCGTCTTCGAAATTTAACACGTGATTCGTATAGATAAATTATTATCACGTGATTACATATTGAGTAAATGTTCTTTATACTTCTTCTTTGAATGTTAGGTTAAAAAATTTTAAATTTTCTTATTAGCAACTATAATATAATATTCATACAATAATCCTTCTTAAATATTAACTTAATTATTAGGTTTGTCAGAAATATTTTCATATTAAAACAGATATTATCAATTTAATATAATAAAGATTTTTTATAGCAGTTTTTTTAGTATTACTATTTCTTACAAAGATTATCCTTAAATAAGTATTATCAATGCATTTTAAATTTCTATTAAATTAAAATCATAATTATAAAATTTTCTTTTAACTGATTCTTTTAAATGATTAAAATTGGATCTGCAACTATTAGGCTACAACTTTTTAGATTGCAACCATTTGCAAAATCTTAATATAAGAATTATAATATCAAAGTCTATAATTAATTGCAACTTTAGATAGTAATCTAGATTGCAACTAATTGCAAAATTTTCAAATCAATTACAATACTATTTTTATAAATGATTATTAAAAGAATCATATATAATTATTTCTGAATATTTTTTAAAACTTATATTTTATTCTTATATTATTAAGATAATTTACATACTTTATCATTAAACCAAAATTATCTAAACATATTTTTTGAAATCAAATAATAATATAGATTAAATTTGTTTTTTATATAAAAACTAGTAGTAGAGAAATGGGCTTTTTGGCACATTTCGTCCAAATGTTTCCAGGGGGTTGTCCTAGGTATCATATCTTCTTTCATATAGCTACATAAAACTCAAATCCTTTTTAGATCCCTATTTGATATCATATCTATTTTAAAGTTCGCTCCCCTTTTGCTTTCTATCCTGAAAAATCAGAAATTTTTGGCACATTGCATTCAAATAAATTCAGAGGGTCACCTTGAGTATCAAATTTTTCTTACATAGCGTATTCTCATTGTAAATATACATGTGACCCTAAGGATACCAATTTGCTTTCTTGATTGATTTTCGCTCTGTAAACTTTATCTTCCTATATGTAAAAAAAAAAATTTCACTTTTTGGCACAAAAAGCCCAGGGAAGCCTAGAGGGTCACCTTGAGTATCGAATTTTTTCATACATAGCATAAACTCATTGTAAATATACATATGACCTTAAGGAAATCAATTTGCTTTCTTGATTGCTATTCGCTCTGTATACATTAGCTTCCTATATGTAAAAATAAATTTTCACTTTGACACAAACAAGTCTGAAACACTTTTGGTATTCATCCTGAGTATCATAAATTTTTCGCATACATTATAATCAAATTGCCTCCCTATAGCATACTGTTTAGATAGCAAGAGAGAACAAGCATGAGGAGGAGCATAATGTACACAAGATATGTTCACGGTTTGCAGAGCATCAAAGATGCGGAGCATATGTACACAAGATATATTCACTCGTTGCGGAGCATCGAAGATGCGGAGCATATGTACACAAGATATGTTCACAGATTGAGGAGCATCGAAGATGCGACGGGTTGCGGAGCATCGAAGATGCGGAGCATATGTACACAAGATATGTTCACAGATTGAGGAGCATCGAAGATGCGACGGGTTGCAGAGCATCAAAGATGCGGAGCATAATGTATACAAGATATGTTTACGGGTTGCGAAGCATCGAAGATGTGAAGCATAATGTACACAAGATATGTTTACGGGTTGAGGAGCATCGAAAATGCGATGGGTTGCGAAGCATCGAAGATGCGGAGCATAATGTACACAAGATATGTTCACGGGTTGAGGAGCATCGAAGATGCGACGGGTTGCGGAGCATCGAAGATGCGGAGCATAATGTACACAAGATATGAGAACAAATAATATTCGTAATCTGCAGAGCGAAGCGGAGCATGTTCCCAAAATATGAGAATAAAGCTACCTTTTTCTAGCCTAAAACTAATCTGTCATCAGCCTGAATTTTTACAAGCTTCTGACGTTGATAAAATTCTCGAATACGATATTTACCCGCATGTTTCCTACAAGCACTATAAACAGAGGAAGTTAATTTTCCGCATTCTATACAGGGAATCCGCCTAGGAGAATTCCAATGAATTTTACATCCTTCTGACCGATAGCACCCCTCATTGCATACTTCTCCAGTCCTAAGAATATACGGACATTTATAAAATCCCATTCTAATAGTCTCTTCTTTTTGAATAAATATGTAACTCTAATTATCCGAATAAAATAATTTTTATTTTAAACTTTTTGTAACCATATATACTCTTTGAGAAAAAATGAGCGGAATATTAGGTAGTATCACCGGTGCATTAGGACGATTATTCGGAAACTTTTAGGGAGACCCGACACCACCTGAGTTACCCAAGCCTTCCGAATCACCAGTACCAGAAGAAGAGCCAGAGGTGGAGTCAGAGGGGGAGAGCGACTATGAGACCGCTGATGAAGGAGAAGCATCAGATTCTGAATCTGTTAACGAATCTGAACCTGAAGAAGATGACAAAATAATATTTAGAAGAATAGAAGATCCAGCTCCGAAAAGGTTAATAGAAACTAGAAGAATTTCTGACCAAGGTTTATGCGTAGATCATCTTGCTTATATTCCAGAAACTTATCTATATCGAGAAGATCCCTTAGCCACGTTTGAGGATGTTGAAGACCAAATTAGTGAAGTTTATAGAAGAGAATTAGTTCGATTAGGGGGGATAAAAACAAAGATAGTTCTCATAGCTCATATGTATCGGATTGTACAAGTAGGACGTTTTGGATATCGAGAAGACGCAGACATAGCATTTCCAAGTGAAATCTTGGATAATATTCGCCAGGATCGAATAGACCAAATAGTCTCACGTCAATACAATGAAATCTTGGATAATATCGATGAAATGAAACAAACTCAGGGTTCAGGCTGGATTTACGATTATGGAAAAAAGATCTTCTTAGAAATAAGTGCGTACCAGCCACTCCGAGGTA